TATAGATTTTCTTGGGCATTCATTTTTCAAAGATTCGTAGAAACTGTCCTTAATTTCATGATATTTAGAAATCCCACATGGTAAATAGCCTGTATTTGATATAGCGCCTTCTAGAGTCCTGGAACCCCCAAGGCACTTTATAACACAATCAGTCATTCACACATTCACACCCCGGTGGGGATGAGCTATTATGTAGCCACAGCTGCCCTGGGGTACACTGACAGAGGCGATGTGCACACCCAGGTGCTCGTGTCTGTTCACGGTCATTTGCATACACAAACACCCTCGATTAACCATGTTTGGTCACACCACATCCTCTAACGCTCATGCAGGAAATCCATGTGTTCTTCCTGACAGCAATGGCCAAAAAAAGAAAAAACTTCAGTGACGGGGAAGTCGGGGGATCAGGTACCCCTCAGCTATTTGAAACGTTTATTTGAACATGAGTCCAAAAAATTTTTAAAAATCAATGAACATAGTAGAAAAGAAAAGATATACCAATAAAAAGAAGTCTTTGTCCAAAGGGAGTAAGAAGAAGCAAGTGCTTATTCAATCCCACCCCCTTGTCTCACATTACTAATTTACTTTACAAGTTACCATCTATACCTACATACATACATACATACATACATATTCATATATATATATGCAACTACTAATGAGTGCATTTTGCATTAACATTTTACGGTACTAGTGATGGTAATAATAATAATAATAATAACTGACAATAATAACATAAACAACAGCAAAATAATAATGACAATATCATAGTTTCCATTACCTCAGAGAACCTCATTTTCATATCCATTATCATTTTTTTTATACCGTGATTTAAATTTGTTTATATTTGGACACTGTTTGTGTATTTCCTGCAGCCCATTCCACAGTTTCACACCACATACTGATACACAGAAACTCCTTTTAGTGGTTCTTACCCTAGGCATTTTAAAATTTTTAGTCCTCCGTAAATGATATCCCTCATCACTCTGGTTGAAGAGCTTTTGAATATTAGGTGGCAATAAGTGCTTACTAGCTTTAAACATGATATGAGCTGTTTGATAATGAACCAGGTCTTGAAGTTTAATGTATTTTGACTGTAAAAACAAATAATTTGTATGATCCAGATACCCAACTTCATGAATGACATGTATTACCCTCTTTTGCAATACTGATAGTGGGTGTAGTGCATTTTTATACTTGTTTCCCCAAAGCTCTATACAGTAAGTGAGATATGGCAGAACTAATGAACAATACAGAATATGGAGTGATTTACAGTCCAACAGTTGCTTCATTTTATTTATAATTGCAATGTTTTTTTGCTGCTTTGGTTTGTATGTGTCTACTGTGGGGCTTCCAACTGAGTTTATTATCCAGTATCACACCCAAAATTTTGATTTCATTAACATTCTCAATTTTTCCATCGTCAATCTTTATACACACTTCTATTTTGTTTTTACAATTGCCAAACGTCATTACCTTTGTTTTTGCTATATTCAATGATAATTTATTATTATTCATCCATTTTTTTAGTTTACTTAATTCTTTATTAGTAATATTAATTATTTCATTGAGATCATTTCCAGCGTCGAACAAATTTGTATCATTAGCAAATAAGATCATCTTCACAGTTTTGCAGACTTGAAAAATGTCATTTATATATATATATATATATATATATATATATATATATATATATATATATATATATATATATATATATATATATTAAAAAGAGCAGGTCCTAATACTGACCCCTGGGGGACACCACAGGCAATCCCCATACTTTCAGAAGTGACATCATCCATTTTCACAAATTGTTGTCTCCTAGATAAATAATTGGTGATCCAGTCCAGTGCCATTCCCCTAATGCCGTACTGTTGTAGCTTGTTTATGAGATTTGAGTGTTTTATTGTATCAAAAGCTTTCCTAAAATCTATAAATACTCCAATAGCATATTTACCTTTATCTAATGTATTAATTATTTCAGTTGCTTCCATTATTGCAAGTGCTGTTGTCCTCTTTTCTCTGAATCCATACTGACTATGGTTTAGTATTTTGTGTTTATTTAAAAAGTTTTTTAGTCTGATATTAAGTAGTTTTTCCAGGATTTTTGAAAATTGAGGAAGAAGTGATACTGGCCTGTAGTTGTTAAATAGATGTTTATTCCCTTGCTTAAAAATTGGTATTACTTTAGCTACTTTCATTTTCTGAGGAAATAAACCAGTTTGGAAGGATAAATTAAATATATAAGTTAATGGTTTTAGAATACCATCAATTACTCTTTTAACCAACACCATATCAATACCGTGGATACTTTGTTGTTACATTTACCAACAACTGATTTAACTTCCAACTCATCCACTGCTGAGAGGAAGATTGAGTTGGGGTAGTTTGTTTTTATCAATGGTTCACTTATTGTCGGTCTTTTTTTGGCTTGGTATTTGCTGCTAGCTCTGGGCCTACATTCACAATATATTCATTCATTCTATTAACTACTTTTATTTTATCATAAATATCACTTTGATTATCAGTAAAGTATTCAGGGTATAGTATTTTCTTTGTCCCACCATTCCTTAATTTGTTTAGTATATCCCAGACACCTTTTAAGTTATTCTTATTTTCATTTAGGATTTTTCTGTAATATATCTTTTTACTAGTTCGTATTATTTCAGTTAATTTATTTTGTAAACTTTGTATCTGATTTCAGCTTCCTTAGTTCGTAGTTAATAAAATTCCTATAAAGACTATTTTTCTTTTTACAAGCATTTCTTAATCCTTTAGTTAGCCATGGGAGATTTTTATACTTATGATTTCTGTTAATGACCTTGACTGGACAATTCTTATTGTAAAGTGTCTTAAATATGTCAATAAATGTACTATATGCCATGTCAACGTCATCTTCCCTATAGACTACATCCCAGTCTTGGGACATCAATTCCTCTTTAAATGCAGCAACTAAACTGTCTGTAAGATCTCATATCTCGTATCTCTTAACATTGGAGATTTATATTTAAACTTAGAAGACCATTAAATCTTTATAATTCTAATACTTCATAATCTCACCCATCTCACTCTTCTCCTTTCCCTCCCACCTCGTGGCCTCCCTGTCTGACTCTTTTTGTCCACCATCTCTTTCTTAGCCCTTCCTCCTCTAGTCTCCAGGGTGCTGCTCAGTTTTCTGACAGATGCGGTATGATTTTTTGTTCTACAAAAACACTCGCGCACACACTAGTGTGCTCTCACTCATGTGGTTGGACGGTTACATAATTCTCTCCACCTGAGCTGCCAGCCACGAGCTAAAGATGCTATATTTGTTGAAGTTCGAACTACATCACCTTCACAAGCATACGATTGGAATTTGGATTCAAGTGGAAAGTTGTCATTCCATAGAGTTTTACCAGTGTTGTTCTGTTTTTCTTGGCCGGGCATGGAGACAGTTGAAATATCAGCTAACGTTCAGCTGCAGACAGAGTTTGAGTCCTTTTTAAATTCTCATCTAGGAGTTGAACGTGCTTGAAACAATAACTGAAGCAGTTTTATCAGACACTGTTTTTCAGTCCCCACCACCAGCTCCACCAGTGGAATCCTAAGGCATTCCCATATAGCCTCAGAGACAAAATCAACATCAAGTCAAAGTCAGCTTTATTATCATTTTTGACTGAAATGTCATTCCTCGTGGACAGCAGCGATCAGAGAGGCTGTGAGATGGGTGGGTGTGACCAACAATCTGCAGAGCTTTGCATGTGAGGCGGGTGCTGTAGATGTGAAGGAGGGCAAGAAGGGGGAACACCAATGATCTGCTCTGCTGCTCTAACTGCACTGGCACTAGCATCGTACTACACCCTGATGCAGCTGGACAGGATGCTCAATAGTGCCTCGGCACAGGTGAAAATCTAAATATATTGTGCAAAAGTCCATATTTTTGTTATTCAACTTGAAAGGTAAACTAATCTATGAAATGGACTTATTACATGCAAAGCCAGATGTTTCAAGCCTTTATTTGTTATATTTATGAAGATTATGGCTTACAGCTTGTGAAAAATGTGGATACGCTTCAAGAACCCTGTGATGTGCAAGGTGTCTGGTGTATTCGGTGTTTAGGTTTCCTGTTATCATTGAACAGGTTCACTGAGAAAGCATTTTTACTCATTATTTTTGAAAATGATCAGTCACTCTGAGTTTAATGGGCAGGCTGAACGTGAAACTAGCCTTCTATCCCTTTTTCCATCATTAGCTTCTGACAGATGGACAGAAAAACGCTCTGTTCAGAAAAACTTGACAGATCTACGTCACACTGTCAATTAACATTCACTTACTTACCCATCTTGACTCACGACGGGAAAGGCTGTTGTTGGTTTAGCTTCCAGGAAACCGTAAAGAAGCTCCACAGCACAGCAGAACAGCTCCAGGCTTGTGTCATTTGTAAATATATTAAAACAATTCAATGTTGCAGAGTAAACAAAGTCAGTGGTAGAGCTGTGTTGCTGTTAATGCTAGCCAAATATGAGGACGTAAGACTGCCGTCTTCTGCCATTTTCTTCTTCGGACGGACTTCCACGTTCTCAAACATGAGCCTCTGAGCTGTTTTCCCCAGAGAACTACTTACAAAACATTCATACCTGCTAGAGACCACTGCAAATGTGTTACAATTATGTGTAAAGTTGCTCTTTAATGTTACAGAGAAAATAATTTCACAACAAAAATAACAATCCCAGCTTCTAACATGAACATGAGCAGAAGCCTGTCGGCTGTCTCTGAACAGCTTGAGTTTAGGATGGAGGCTGTTGGATTAGCTCTTCCAGTGTTTCTCACTCACCGAACCTTTAGTTGTTTTTAGACTGAAGTGTAATAATTGTTTTGCGGATGTGTGTTTCAGTCTGACTTGGAGCAGTATAAGAAGGCGTTGGTGGATGCAGGCTGTGACCTCTCATCTCTCAACTACATTAAACAGTGGAAGTAAGTTTTCAGATGATCAAATCATCGCTTCACCAGATTCTCTGGGGTTACAAGTGGCATGTGGCTTCATTAGCGCTCAAACAGTGATGTAGTATTGTTTAATAATGGAGACACCGCAGACTTCTCCGCGCTCTTTTGTCCTCTCCTACATGCTCGGAGATGAGCTCATGACATCACAGACTGCCCATGTGCTCAGTCACGTCAACATTCCTAAGGCAGTGTGGAACGAATACGGCCAGGCTGGGGCAGACACAGCAGAGCAGAGTGGAGCCGATGCTAGTGTGTAATTGGCACGTCTCTGCTTCAGCACACCTGATTTGCATGGTCCCCTCAGGAGGACATCAAGTGCTGCAGATGCCTGTTAATCACTCATTCATTTAAGCCAGGTGATTGGGAGCAGGGGAACACTGGTGGTTGAAAGGGCAACATGGCATCTATGGAACATCAGAACATGGACATAAAACATCTTTGTAACAAAGTTGAACGCCAGAATGTGACATCCTTATCCACCTTTTCCCTAGCCTGCACAAATCTTTGCAGGAAAAATGCAACCTGCTTGCGGTCCAGTGTTTGTTTACATTGCAACCATAGATGGATGATGTGTTCCGTTTGCACTAATCCACTTTTCATGGTCTTTTTAAATACATGAATTATGTGCTGTCACAGCTCATTTGGGACACTGTTACAATCCCTCTGCCTACTGCAGTAGAGGAGTGGAGGATGATATGAAAATCTGGCTAAAGCTAATCTCCAGTAGCATTATTAGCTACTTGTCGTGTCCAACGGCGAGGCAACGAACAATCTACAAATCTCCAAGCTTATCAGTACCTACGTAGTCATTTGTTTGGTCGTGTTTTGTTGAAAGAGGTGGGACAGCCTTAAATCCCTCATCACCGAGCTAGGTTTTAGTTTCTACAGCAGGTAAAATACAAACAGCAGGTTGTTCATGTATTACGATTGGCTAAGTACGGTGTTAAAATTTTTTTGTCTGCTTGTTAAAAGCTTAATTCAGCTAAATTCTTTTTAGGGTCTCAAATCGGTGTCTACACGGTATTATTTTTATTTCAGGTTGAGAATGCAGTCAGACAGAAAGGCCAGGTCCTCACAGCTAAAGGGGAATGCAGGCACACTCTCTCTGAGGATAATGTTCCAGACAACACTCTTGTAGCCACAAATTTAACTTTCTCTGATAGTTAGTGCCACTGCGAACAGCACTTCCTTTTACAGGGGCAAATCGCATCTGAAATCCTTTTGAAATGTTCAGATAAACTGCTGCGAGAAACAAAACCTCACTATGCAAGTCAGTGGCTATGCGCTACTTCCAGTATCTCACCGGATGTTGCTCGCATCATCGTTTTTACATAAGCAGGAAAAGGCTGGATATTATTTATAATTATAACAAATCCTGTTTAATAAACAGCTTTTTTAATAAGTATCCCTGCTTTTCTCTCCTACTGGTTGAAAATGGAATTACAACTGTCATAAACCACCTTTCCGCAGCCTCCTGTAGCTAACGCTAACAACGAGCTAACTGATACTAAGCTAGCCACAAAGTAAAAAGATCCACACTGGTGGACAAAAAAATATCATTTTTTACAGGTTCAGTAGCAACAAAGCCAGTTCACCTGTGATTTTTTAGCTCCCTCAAACGGGTGTAGGCTGCGGCGAGGTTCACTCTGGTTTTAGCTCTTTTTGTCACCACCAGAGACATTACTCTTACTTTTATTTCCAGGCTCAGCCATGATGCCAACACATAAAGCCAAATTCTTATTTTTCTTGTAGTTTTTATTTACGGCTGATAACAGTTGTATGTGCTACAGTAAACAACTGTTGCCGTAAAGCAGGATGAGACCTCCCTCAAGTGCACCCACCCATGCTCCTAAATTGTAAAGTGTGGTTTCTGTTCAGCAGCGAACTAAAGAGTGAAGTTAGTAAAGTCTCTACCTCAAGAACCTCTGAAATCCATTTGAAAGCAATAGCTCTTTGGTGTTGCTTTAACAAGCTCTCTGCATAATAAAAGGAGACAAATTACTGGAGCAGTGAAGCCGATTGTTTTAACTATCTTCTTTTATTCTAGGGCTTTTACCAAAATGGCCACCGCCCCAGCTAACTACGGGAACAGTGGAGTCAAACCGATGGGGTAAGGCAGTAACAATTTAACCCTCCCACACTCCTAATGGTTGTGACCCCGCAAGGAAAGTTGACCATTGAGCAGGGTTGATGGTTTATCCCTCGAGGTCCATGTGGCAGAGATGAGGAGTGAGCACCACCTCACCCCTGCCACGTGGACCTCGAGGGATAAACCATCATCAGTCCTGCTCAATGGTCAACTTTCCTCGCGGGGTCACCCATAAAGACAGTGGGAGGGTTAGAGTTTATGAAAGTAGGAAAAGCAGAAGATGTTCCTCTGAAATGCAGCTAAGAACAGAAATAATTCAGGGATTTGAGCTGGTTTTGTTTCTCTCCAGATGAATACAGATTCTGATTTTAATAAAGCTGAAGCATAAAATAATGTTGACTCAGGTTTTTGTTTGTTTTTAAGCAGCGTGCTTTCGTTTACCATCTTAACCATTTTTTCTGTCTTGTTTCTCTTCCCTCCTCTTCTCTCTACAGCCTGTTCTCCAGAGTCATGAACACCGGCTCCCAGTTTGTCATGGAGGGTGTGAAGAACTTGGTGCTCAAGCAGCATGTGAGTAAAGCACTGAGGAAGTTCTCAAACTGCCTCAGACTCAGCTTTTACCACAGCTACTCCACAAACGCCAGGGCAGATAGTAAAAGGATCAGGAATTGTGCCAAGCACACGGATACTGGAGTTCCTGAACCACTGACCCCGGAAGATCAGGATAGAAGATGAGACTTTGCTCACCATCATTCTCAAACTGGTTCATTTCAGGATGTCGTCCTGAGTCCTGCTCTTGGGTTTCAGAGTTCACTTCATCCTGCAAATGCCAGAATGTTCCTCAAAAGCCACCTGATTTATTAATAAATAATCACACTTTTAGCATCTGGCTGCAAACAGAAGCAGATTTGTGCAAATTCTGAAAAATGTAGTTTTCTGCTGGGAGTTCTCCGTCTTCAGGGGGAATTAAAATATCAAGTTTTGTGATCAAATATATTTTTCCACGTAGTTTTTCTTTTCTTCATTTGCGTGTTTTATAACTGATTTTATTTTATTTTGGTTTTAGAATCTTCCAGTCACTCGGATTCTGGACAACCTGATGGAGATGAAGTCACATCCTGTGAGTTCAGTCACTGTTTCTACTTATTGGTTTTATTTTCTCCTACATCAGAGCAGATCACCACGACCACCGGTCTGAAAGTGATAACCCTTAGATTAACTATTCTATAATTATTCTAGCTGGTCCGCTTTATTTCTTCTCAGTGGCCTGCAGTGATGGGAATAACACCGTTTAAAATAACGGAATTACTAAAAAAAAGGTAGTTTTTTCAGTAACTAGTAATCTAATTAGTTACCATCTTTTATCGTAATGCCATTTTCATTACTGATCAGAAAATGCGTGCGTTACTAATTCAGCAGCACAGTGTGTTGAAGCTGCCTTCAGCTGATTGGGAGCTAAAGAGGCGGATGTTTTCATCCGAGCGCATCGCGGCCCGTGGAGAATGAGGAAGACGTGATGAATAGTCTGCAGACCCGCAGATTTGCTACTGCAAGCGTGAATCTGCAGCCGTGCCCTTCTTGGCGGGACAGCGGGACGTCCTGATCCTTCTACCTTCCTAGATCATCCAGCTGTAACCTGTTTCTGATCATTTAGTCCCGCTGTAACACTGATGCATCTGTCTCAGACATAGTGGGAGCTCAGGTGTTATTAGAACTACCTGTGTGTGTTTACCACCCAGCTTCAGCTCTTCTGTGGTTGGGTCTGACCCAAGTTAGTAAATGTAAGTCCTCCATCAGGCTTGTGCTTCTTCTAGTGTCATTTTAAAGGATATTTATTTATTTATTTAACCATTACTAGATTACCAGCAACAGAAATGCTGGTAAAAACACACAATTATGTGAAGCTGGAAAAATTAGAAAACCGTGCAGAATCACATTTATTTCAGTAATTTAACTAGACCAAGAGACCATTTAAAGGCTCAGGAACCTTTACAGGTGTGTCTATTTGCAATTATAAATTTTAGCTGATTGGTTAAATATCACACAGTCACATTTTAATAGTCTAGATTAGTGTAATGTTCCAGTTTGTAGTTCCTCCTGTTAAGTGCCCATTTATTTCAATTATTCAGTTTTATACAAAACATTTGGACATACATTTTATTATGTTCCAGTCTAAGTTTAACTAAGAGGAGAACCCATTTTTCTTGCATTGTTTAATGAAAAAAAGTAACAAAATATTTATTCTTCTTGGTAATTAGTAACTTTTATAATCTTGTAACTCAGTAAGTAACTGAGTAACTTTTTTGGCAAAATTATCAGTAACTATAACTAATTACTTTTTAAAAATAACATTCCCAACACTGGTGGCCTAGTGGTAGAGTGTCCGCCCTGGGACTGGGAGATCGGTTCAAATCCCGATCGGGTCATACCAAATACTTTAAAAATGCTTGAGTCTTAGCCTTAAGGGGTTGGATTGGGAGGTTAACCCACTCGTCTTCCACTACTCTGCTTAGATGGTACTCCCAACAGATGTGGTTTCCAGCTTCAGATACTTAGGATTGCCTATCAGCAACCAGCTGATCTGCAGCAGTCTAGTGGAGAGGGCACATCAACAGCTGTATGTCTCCCAGAGACTCAGACAGGGAGGACCTAGGATCAGTCCTCTGATCCATCTACAGATGTGTGGTGAAGAGCATCACTGTGTGGTACGGAACTTGTTCTGCAGCATGTGGCCAAAGCTGCACAGGATTACCAGATGCATTATGTCACTAGTGTAGGATACCTTCACCTCCAGATGCAGGAGCAGGGTTTCAGTAGTGACGTTCACCAACAAATCAGATCATTTGAACATCTCTTCAAAGTGAACCATGAGAGCAGAGTCCTTGTAGACAACAGTTCATTTTGTCTTTCGGTAAAAACACACACACACACACACACACACACACTCTCGCGCACACACACACACACGCACGCGCACACACACACACACACACACTCGCGCGCGCACACACACACACACACACACACACACACGCACGCACACACACCCTGTAGGTTTCTCAGCAGCTGGTGTTACAGACCACAGAGAGGTCCTGTTGTTCTTGGTCTGAAGAGGAGGGGTGAAGATGAAAGAAATAGAGGAGCACATTCTGTTCTTATCAGATTGTCCTCTGTGTGAATGTGGTTCTTCTTGGTTTCTGGTTCAGGTTCCACAAAACATAAGAGGAATGTTGACTTCATGGTTACACACCGAACCTTAATGTCTTATGTTTGCTCACTAATAAAACCGTCTTAAACTGTTTTTGTGTTTTGTTAGAGTGAATTTTTTTCATTATCTGTATAATTTCTAGGCTTTTATCTGTCACATGAGTGTATTTCCTTTTTCTGTTGTAAATTTGAAGCTGATCTTTTCAGAAATTTCACACAAAACTCTTTAATGAAAGTAAAACTCATTAGAGCTGTCTTTCTGCACAATCATGGTCGGGTTCATGGCCGTTACCTGCATTAGTCGGCTCCCTACCAAAGGCCGTCGTTGCGGACTTAAGCGTAAAGCTGGATGTTGCTCTAAAACCAGGGCTAGGATAAAGCTGTTGCTCTCTAAAGTGAACCTTGAGATTGTGACATGCTTTTATTCTTTTAAGACTGGACTATTATAGCGTCCCATGTGCTGGGTTTAGCCAGTCTTCTCTATCTAGGCGGCAGTTGGTGCAGAAATCTGCTGCTTAGTTTGTCTGCGGACTAAAAGTAGTATCATATGTTCCCAATCCTGGTTTTCGCTGCAATGGCTTCCTGTGCAGTACCTGATTCATCTTAAGGTCTTGGTTTTTGGTGTATTCGTGTATAATTCTCTTGCATGGAGGGCTCCATCCCACCGCTCATCAATGCTGTTGATTGTTTGCCATTAAGGGCGTGTTGCTCAGCAGAGCACGGCTTTATCCAACTCCTAGGTGTAAGTGGAAGACACAGAGAGCTGCCTTGTTCCTCCTCGCTGCCTGCAGCCTTTTCCAGGTCTCTACTTCTTAGAGTCTGACAAAAAGCCACAGACTGAGCACAACATTCGGCATCGCTACCAAGTCCTCCATTGTTGCGTACAAATCACTTCGTGATACTTTACAACTCTGGGGGCTACCTTGCCATTGCAGAACCCATCAGATAGAGGTGGGGTATTAAATTCTGGGCCTGCAGGGCCGATATCCAGCACATTTTAGTTTTAACTCTGTTTCAACACACCTGCTTTAATCAGCAGGTGATTAACAGACTTCTGCAGAGCCTGATGAGCTGCTGCACTGGTGATTTGAACACTGAAACAAGTGTGTTGGAGCAGAGAAACCACTAAAACGTGCTGGGTACCGGTCTCCAGGACCAGAATGGAATACCCTGGCACTAGAGCTTTTTCTCTGTTGGGAACCCGATGCGTTAGTCGAGCTGGGCTGGTGCTAAGGAGCCATAACTGTCGGCTCTTAATGAACCAGTTTCCAGATGCAAAGAGTCCGTGGTACTGAGTGTGTTGTTTGTGTCGATGATCAACTAGAGGATAACTGCTGATCTTTGACAAACTAGCTAATTCTTATTAGTTAAGCTTAAATAAATATGCATTCTTTTCCAGGAAACAGATGACTACCGGTACTTTGACCCAAAGATGCTGCGAGGCAGTGAAAGGTCAGACAAGGCCGATACCTGGTTACAGTGGAGCTGTGATCAGAACCAAAGCTCCTCGGCAATCTAACAACAGACTGCTGTTGAACTGCCCTGGAATGTCTGATCATCTTTTCCTCTTCTTCTGTTTCAGCTCTATTCCCAGAAACAAAAACCCATTTCAGGAGGTGAGTTTATGACAGTTTCCAGGACTGTACCAGTTGTGATGTTTAAATACTCAGAGAATCTGATTCAGCCTAATCTGGCATGACTAGGGTCACAGGAAAGAGTTTTAGTTGACCCATTTAGTGTCAGCCAGTCTATCGATTAAACCCTGACTCGTGAATTCAACAGAGTGACATCTTCTCTGTTAGAAGTTGTGCTGTTTTTGGTTCTGCCTACACAGAGGAAACTACAGACTATGTTTAGTATCCAGAGTCCATCGTTTACCTTAATAAACAAACGTATTTGTCATGAAACATGTTTCAGCAGCACACCTCTGATGTTTCAGGCCATCGTGTTTGTGGTCGGGGGAGGGAACTACATCGAGTACCAGAACCTGGTGGACTATTCCAAGGTGATGCCCATCGTGTGTGTGTGTGTGTGTGTGCGTGCGTGCGTGCGTGTGTGTGTGTGTGGACACATGTTAAAAGGTAATTACAGTTCAAAAGGACAGGGTGGGATGGTTTTACATCTTTTCAATCAGACACAGAGATAAATCATCTAAGGCTTCCTTTTGTTTCTAGTCCAAACCAGGAAGGAAGGTTCTGTACGGCTGCAGCGAACTCTTCAACGCGTCTCAATTTATGAAGCAGGTGAGGAAATGCACAACACCCCATGTCCTCCTGTTGTCCCCATGTTGTCTTGTTCTCAGTTGTCCTGGTGTCCCTGTCTTGCTGTATTGTTCTTGTGATCGTGCTTTTCCCTCTTCTTGTCATGTTCTCCTCTAACTGATGTTCTCCAATTGTGTTGTCCTCTTGTTTATTTTTTCTTCCTGTTGTTTTGCTGATCCTCTGATCTTCTGACCTCGTCATCCTTTGCGTCCACAGCTTGCTCAGCTTGGACAGAAGTGATGTGTGACTCCAGCAGCAGCATCCCGTTTCATCTGATCAGTTTTTTATTGTCTCTGTTCTTCAAACAAACTAAACCTGTTCTCTTTTTTCATTCCTCTAAGAATAATAAATCTAAATGTACATCTGAGCCTGTCCTGCCTCTGAGTGGTTTATGTCATCAGCTTTATACAAACTGAAATGTAGAGGTGGAGACCTAACCTACTTTAGGTGCATGTGTTCAGAAGGTAAGGCATTCTTCTTGTTCCTCCATCCATCTAACACGTCTTAGCTCACGCTGCATTAGATGTGCATTCAACCCTCACCTGGTCATGAGATTTGGGTGATGACCGAAAGGGTTCAGCCTCAGAGATCAGGTGAGGAGCTCAGATGTCCAGTAGGGAATCAGAGCTGGGATCGAACCAGCAACTCCCATGAAACTGAACCACTGCCACATCTAAACAGCTCTAACTCTATGCCTCAACATCAGACCACTTTAGGTTAAAGCTCTGGATGAACGGTGGAGAGGAATTCCCTAAGAGACTGGGGGATTTTTTTTATTTTTCATAATTCAGTCTCCACTTAAGCAAATAGACTCTTGGTATTTTCCTTTTGGACCTGCACAGCTTCCTTACTGCTGAAGACCCCATCAGCGTGTTTTTCTGACCTTGACAAGGAAGCTTCATGGTCTTGTGTCTGCTTTCCCTCCGGTGTCTCCCGTCTCTCCGGTACTGTTATGCTCTGCATTAGACCTGCTGGGTCGGAGCAGAACTTTGTGTTGGGTTTCATTTGGTTATGGTGTCTGGGGAAAAGGTCACACCCACCAGATTCCTGCAGGCCACCAGATAGTTTTGTGGTTTAAAGAGGCTTTAAGTTTGGAACGGTTCCTCGGGACCACACAGACTTTTGAGTCCTTTTGGAACACTCCGTGATTAATAAGATCTCTGATCAGTTTACTGACTCATGATGGTTGGGTTGAATGAAAAATTAAAATGTCCTTATGTCCTACTGCACCACGAAACTCCTAAATCAGGTGTTTTTTACTCTGTAGGAGGTTAATAATAATAATAATAATAATGCATTGAACTTATATAGCGCTTTTCTAGACACCCAAAGATGCTTTCACACACTCTCACATTCACACACTGCTAGTGATGGTAAGCTACTTGTAGCCACAGCTGCCCTGGGGAGGTCTGACAGAGGCGAGGCTGCCATTTGGCGCCATCGGCCCCTCTGACCACCACTAACACAGGCAAGTTGGGTGAAGTGTCTTGCCCAAGGACACAACAGCAGGATACCCCTGGCGGGAGCTGGAATCGAACCCATGACCCTCCGATCATGAAGCAACCCGCTCTACCACCTGAGCTACTGCTGCCCCAAGTTAAGTGTTTCCTGTTATTCAAAGTAAAAATTGAGTAAACTGAATGACACAGTTACACACTGGTGATGAGCTACAGTGTAACCACAGCTGCCCAGGGGCACACTGACAGAGTGGGCAAGGTGGGTGAGGTGTCTCCCAAGGACACGATGACCGTGACATACTAAGCAGGGCTCAAACCTGCAGCCGCCCTATTACGGGACGGACACAACTCCTCTGCCACCGTCACGTTACGCATGTCCAGCAGCACCAGGACCATCCCCTTCTGCAGGTCCAAGGATCAGGCTCAGGAATGGCAGCAGGCAAGTCTCAGTCCAGCCACATTCCAGCAAGGGGAAGACTTGGAGGAAGACCTGGTAATGAGGACAGCAAAGAAAAATGTCTCTCCATGAAAACTGTCATAGACAGACTGATGTCCAGTAAACTCCAGACCATGACTGCACTGAGTGGAAGAGCGCCAGCAGTCAGGATGTGGACCAGTAGTGAAAGCAGGTCAAGGAGAGCCGAATAACCAATCCAGCGTTGCGCTGACGACGAACAGATCCATGAGCTGTTTGATGGGCTCCATGTGGAGTCTCAGTTATCACCTTCAGAGGTTTCATACTTTAGTTCTGAAATGCCTTTTTTAAAATGTCATTTGTCTTCAAACTAACCTTTATTTCTGTATTCATGCATGCAGTATAAGAGCTAATCTTTTATGCAAATAGGCTGATTAACCTTCAAGCAAAGGTGTGTCTGTCTTGGGCCTCAGTCTATGGGCTTGGTAAGTACCTGATAAACTCATAGTTGGGATTTTATTTTAATTTTTACTGTCGAATGTCACTTAAATGTGTAAAATCTTAGTTTTACAGAAATGATTTAGTCCAAAATAACTTGAAATGGCTAAATAGATAGAACCTCATCTACTGGAATACTAGATGAATCTACAGTCAGGCGCTATATCAAATACAGGCCATTTACCATGAAATGTTAAAATCGGAACACATGGAAAATGGGGGGAATTGCAAAATGTCCTGGAAATTTTTGAGTTGTCCTGGAAAATAATTTTCCCTCCTTGTGGATAAACAAAGGGTCTGCTGGGAACGCCTGGCTGAAGAACCTGCCAAGACGGTCTTCAACTCCCACCTCCGGCAGAGCTTTGACCGCGTCCCAAGAGCAGTGGGGGACATTGACTCCGAGCGGGCCTTGTTGGTGTGGAGTGTGTCGAGTTTGATGGCAGGAGAATCTTGTCTTTGTTTTTTGCGGATGATGTGGTCCTCCTAGCTTCATCACACACACACACACACACACACACACACACACACACACACCCTAATCATTCTAATCATATTTGTACATTTTTTGCTAAAACATTTTTGTAAAGTCTTTGCTCCAAATGTTAGTTGTTATTGATCTTCTCCACGATTAGACACTGATTTATATAGTTTATCAGCAAGAAAAAGTTGATCTGGGGTGACTTGCTCTTTAAATAAAATAGTTAGAAAACACTAAAGATTTACAAACAGTGGTCACTTTATGAGGTATATATTGTATATTATAAGTACCCCTGAAGGACTTAGTTGTTCGTCCTTTGGGACATTGACACAATGCTAACAGTTTTGGCTCTATACACCACCACAATGGATATCAAATGAAACAAACAAAATGTGCTTTAACTGCAGACGGTCAGCTTTTATTTGAGGGTATTTACATCCAAATCAGGTGAACGGTGCAGGAATTACAACAGTTTGCACATGTGCCTCCCACTTGTTGAGGGACCAAAAGTAATGGGACAATTGGCTTCTCGGCTGTTCCATGGCCAGGTGTGTGTTATTCCCTCATCATCCCAATTATAATGAGCAGATAAAAGGTCCAGAGTTCATTTCAAGAGTGCTATTTGCATTTGGAATCTTTTGCTGTCAACTGTCAAGATGAGATCCAAAGAGCTGTCACTATCAGTGAAGCAAGCCATCATTAGGCTGAAAAAACAAAAGAAACATATCATTAGGCGTGGCCAAAACAACAGTTTGGAACATTCTCAAAAAGAAGGAACGCACCGGTGAGCTCAGCAACACCAAAAGACCCGGAAGACCATGGAAAGCAACTGTGGTGGATGACCGAAGAATCCTTACCCTGGTGAAGAAAACACCCTTCACAACAGTTGGCCAGATCAAGAACACTCTCCAGGAGGTAGGTGTATCTGTGTCAAAGTCAACAATCAGGAGAAGACTCCACCAGTGTGAATACAGAGGCTTCACCACAAGATGTAAACCATTGGTGAGCCCCAAAAACAGGAAGGCCAGATTAGAGTTTGCCAAACAACATCTAACAAAGCCTTCACAGTTCTGGAACAACATCCTATGGACAGATGAGACCAAGATCAACTTGTACCAGAGAGGTGGAAAGGAACTGCTCATGATCCCAAGCATACCACCTCATCAGTGAAGCATGGTGCTGGAAGTGTCATGGTGTGGGCATGTATGGCTGCCAGTGGAACTGGTTCTCTTGTATTTATTGATGATGTGACTGCTGACAAAAGCAGCACGATGAATTCTGAAGTGTTTCGGGTAATATTATCAGCTCATATTCAGCCATATGCCTCAGAACTCATTGGACGGCGCTTCACAGTGCAGATGGACAATGGCCCAAAGCATACTGCAAAAGCAACCAGAGAGTTTTTGAAGGGAAAGAAGTGGACTGTTTTGCTATGGCCAAGTCAATCACCTGACCTGAATCGGATTGAGCATGCATTTCACTTGCTGAAGACAAAACTGAAGGGAAAACACCCCAGGAACAAGCAGGAACTGAAGACTGTTGCAGTAGAAGCCTGGCAGAGCATCACCAGGGATGAAACCCAACATCTGGTGATGTCTGTGTTCCAGACTTCAGGCTGTAATTGACTGTAAAGGATTTGCAACCAAGTATTGAAATGTATAAGTTTGATTTATGGTTCTTATTCTGTCCCATTACTTTTGCTCCCTTAACAAGTGGGAGGCACTTATGCAAACTGTTGTAATTCCTACACGTTCACCTGATTTGGATGTAAATACCCTCAAATAAAAGCTGACAGTCTGCAGTTAGAGCACATCTTGTTCATTTCATTTGATATCCATTGTGGTGGTGTATAGAGCCAAAAATGTTAGCATTGTGTCAATGTCCCAATATTTGTGGACCTGACTGTATGTCTCACGGCGGTCACTATGGTGACCATGTGTCCCACTATCTGGTTGGTGTTCAAATATCACCTGGCTTCCAATGAATGAATGGAGGAAGCAGTGAAGTTCTCATCCAAGAGGCTGGCAAAACCAGACTGGTCCCAGGTGAGCTGAAGGCCCATTGGACAATGGTGCTTTTTGGCTCCTTGTTGCTCCGCCCACTCTGAGAAATCAGGCAAAAATTCCTCAAACACTTAACTCAGAAGAAACTGTTGCTACTACGGTGACAGGGAAGGGGAGGAACCAGTGCTGCAGATGGAGAGAAGAAAGTTATTTTGAAGTAGAAGTTGACCCATTTTGGTTTTTCCATTACTGAAGCAGATAAAGGTCACGCTCAGCCACTGGCTGATTTGTGCTGCCGACATTTTGGGCAGATTTTCATGGCAAATATAGACGTTTTCCACCTTATTTCCATGCTAAAATGTCACTAAAAACATTAGTTGATACACACATTTTTGAAGCTGAATCCGTTTTTGAACTCTGAATTTAACCAGCTGTTAAATCTTAATTTTGTGCACTTCTCAGCAGAGATGTAAGAAAACATCGATATGGCAATATATCTATTGCATCTATATCGCA